AGCCATTAATTTTCTGTTTCGCTTTGATTCTCCTATCGAATTACATGCGTAATACGAAAACTCTATTCTCTCTCTTTCTTTTTAAGTGTGTTGTCTTTGCTTGGAAAACCGATTTAATTTACATAACTAGATGAACTTATAATTATCCATACTGAACTCCTTGAAAGTACAGCTAAAAATATTAAATTATGAAAAAAAATTATATTTATTAATTATATTTATTAATTATAATATTAATTACATGTATTTTTTGAAGTGCCCTCAGATTGGCTGAGATTTCCTATGTCCCGTTATTATAATCAGGAGACCGTTGCCAGCTTGACGATATCTAGCCAAATTAGCGAGATAGCCATTGACTCGATGTTAACTAGACTTGCCCCTGCATTCTTATTTTTCTGGCAGAGCATCGTTTCTGTCAGCTTTTCATGTTACATTACACAGAAAAATACGATTTCACATATAATCTTATTAAAATTATTTATTTATGTACAAAATTCGTTACAGTATTCTAAGAATGCATATAAACCTTAGAATATGCATAATCTCCTATTCTTAACGAAAGTATAGTGTTACGAATTTGGTATTTAAAAAGCTAATATTAGTTCAATTATAAATTAATTGGTTTTATTTCTCGCGCAGTGCAGCGCGTGACGAATATTAAAAGAAAGCTAAGCCGGAAAATTGAAAATACAAGAGCGCGTGCATTAAATAAATAAATATCTCTTTTTGATTTCGAGAAAGTACTGGAAAATTCTAGCGCGTGATTTTAAAATCTTATAAAAGGAGGAAAACATCTCAGTTTGTAGTAGTTGCTTAGTTTGTTGTTATTTAGAAAACTGCTCTTGTTGATTGTAGCGAATTCGCGGATTAGCGTTCTTTAGCTGTTTTGAATTACGTTCTATTGGACATTTGAGTAGTTAAAAGATAACTACTGTGAGATATTGTAATACTGCATGATAATTTGAGAAAATTTAAGCATTTTTGTTGTGATAATAATAAATTTTTGTTCATTTTTCATCGGACTTGTGCATTCATTTCATAACGAACCCGTACGCACGCAACAATTTTTGGTGTCAGGAGTGGGGACCGAAGAGACGCAGCCGAGGCAAGCTGCAACGTTACAACGTAGGGGCGCCTTTTGAACGTATCGCCTTTGACATCTTAGGACCTCTGCCACGAACTGCTGATGGCAACAAATACATACTCGTTGTCATTGATTACTTCACCAAGTGGCCTGAAGCGTACCCTGTTCCTGATCAAGAGGCTGTCACAGTAGCTGAGGTAATGATACAGCACTGGATTTCCAGGTTCGGAGTGCCTCTTCAGTTACATTCCGATCAGGGAAGGAATTTTGCCTCGGCAGTAATCAAAGAACTATGCAAACTACTTGGCATTGACAAAACTCAAACGACGCCATTGCATCCCCAGTCGGACGGCATGGTAGAGAGGTTCAATCGAACCATCCTTAATAACCTCTCATTAGTGGTTTCCAGAAACCAACAGGACTGGGACAAGAAATTACCACTCTTTTTTACTGGCTTACCGCAGTGCTGTCCACGAGACTACCGGCTATTCTCCATCACAGATGCTCTTCGGTCGTGACCTTCGTCTGCCTTGTGATCTATTGTTTGGCCGCCCTCCGGATGCTCCTTCATCGTCTGAGGAATATATTCAAGATCTCCAGGCCCGGTTTGAAGTGATGCACAATTTTGCACGAGAGCGAGTCAACTTGGCGACGGAGAAGATGAAGACCCGATACGACACAAGAGCTACTGAACATCAATTCCACGAAGGAGACAAGGTGTGGTTGTGGAATCCGACTCGACGGAAAGGACTTTGTCCGAAATTACAGTCACCTTGGGATGGGCCGTACACAGTCCTAAACAGGCTGAATGACGTCGTGGTTCGGATTCGTAAGTCTTCGAACTCTAAACCTAAAGTTGTTCATTACGACATAGTGCATAATGTAAATAATTGTAAATAGTATAAGACCATGGTCCATTTTGTTTTTAAATGTGTCTTTGATCTGATTTGTATTTAGTATTTGATTTGCATTTAGTATTTGATTTGAATTTGATAGCATTTGATTTGTTTTATGTATTGCATTTATTGTTCATGTTGTTTATTATTGTAATGTAATGCTTATTAATGCATTTATGCCACAGTTGTAAATTATCTTCCTGTCCAGGGATTGTACTGCCCGGGACGTGCAGTCCTTGGGAAGGGGGCAGTGTTACGAATTTGGTATTTAAAAAGCTAATATTAGTTCAATTATAAATTAATTGGTTTTATTTCTCGCGCAGTGCAGCGCGTGACGAATATTAAAAGAAAGCTAAGCCGGAAAATTGAAAATACAAGAGCGCGTGCATTAAATAAATAAATATCTCTTTTTGATTTCGAGAAAGTACTGGAAAATTCTAGCGCGTGATTTTAAAATCTTATAAAAGGAGGAAAACATCTCAGTTTGTAGTATTTGCTTAGTTTGTTGTTATTTAGAAAACTGCTCTTGTTGATTGTAGCGAATTCGCGGATTAGCGTTCTTTAGCTGTTTCGAATTACGTTCTATTGGACATTTGAGTAGTTAAAAGATAACTACTGTGAGATATTGTAATACTGCATGATAATTTGAGAAAATTTAAGCATTTTTGTTGTAATAATAATAAATTTTTGTTCATTTTTCATCGGACTTGTGCATTCATTTCATAACGAACCCGTACGCACGCAACAATATTTTAGAATCTACTGTATTGCTGTTGCCTTAACCTTTTCCGTAGTTCGTTTCCTCCACCCCCCTCGTTTTGGACTATTTTCATTATTTTACGGTTACTATGTTTTCTAAATTCCGAAAATATATTTAATGCTTATACCACGATTATGATACCAGAGTAATTTTCGACAAATGGCTCATCAGTGGCTTCCTTCGACCATTCCCCACATTTTATTTTAAAAGAGTTTGTCAAGAAAATTTTGTCCGAAAAAACATTCTGGATTGATTTGAATCATACGTTCAGTTCAACAACAAAACTATCAATATTTTTGCTTTTCAAGAGAATTTAGTTACATACTATTCAGCAGTAATAATTGCGCCCCGCCCTTTCCAAAATGCCGAAGGATTGCGATTATTTCGAAAGACATGCTCTTAACTTTCTCCGAGAGCTGTCATGTCAGACACATCGACACGTAATATATGCAGGCCAGATTACCGGGCATGCCGATATATTAGGTGCCGGATTACTGGACTTTAATATGGTAAAAAAACTAAGTAACAAGGACACCTGTGGCGCTATCTATTGAGGAACTGCGAAATGAAAAATAAATGGAGTTAATGGATGATAACTTGGAGAGGCTTCTAAATTTGTTTTTTGTTTGCCTTCCAGAATATTCTTCGTACATCAGAAAGTAAGAAATTTAATATACTATATCGCTAATGGTTTTTAGTTCTGCAAACATTATTTCAATTTTTTTTCTGTTAAAATTATCCGTACAAATTCTTCAGTTGGTAAAATAGATTTTCTGAAGCGTTAATATTCAATATTTAGTAATGACTAACAGTTATGAAAGTCTTTTTAAATAATTTTAATTTCGATCCTCTTCTTCAAAAGTGTTTCGAAGTATTTTATAGATTTTCTAGAAAGGATTTTATTTCAACGCCGTTATAGTTTTTCCTGTTTTTTAAATTTGTTAAGTTTGGAGAAACGTCGCAAGATATTTTTGTCTCTTGGAAGATCCGTACGACTGTGCCCTCGCAGTTAAACGCATTTTATCTAAAATCAATATAACGATGAAAGTCTAAATTTAAATTTTTCGTTAATTTAAAAATTGTACAGAAATTCGATGTGCTGTAAAAGCGATTATTGACTCTGAATACTCAAAAAACTTGAATGCATAAAAAAAAAATGTTTTTGATATAATTTGAGAATTAATTTAATGCAGCATATAATGCAATGCATTCACAAAATTTTAGGGCTACGTTCTGACAAAATCGAGAGTTGAAAACAACATTCCTTCAATATATAATCTTTGTAAATTTTTACAAACACTTGGCACATTCATGTATCCGCTTCATTTCCTACTCATCTTTTCGAATGCTGTTTAAATCTTTCGTTACAGTTTTCTGAATCTGCCCAGTTATATTAAAATAGTGATCTACGATGCGAGACTCTACATTGGGGGGGGGGTGGAAATCTGCAAATGCCAAATCTAGTAAATAAGGGGAGGGGGGTATAGTGACACTGGTCTTCACGAGAAACTGCTTGACCAGAATGCAACTATGCGACGGCACAATGTCGTGCAACAAAAATCGGCTAATCGATTGACCTTTTTTAAGCTTAATGTTCTGATTTCTCCGCGCTCTTCTGCCATTTGGTCCTCGGAAACCAGTTTCTTGTGAATTATCCCTTTTCAACCAAAAATGGTCACCAACATGATCTTTGCAGAACATTTCTGAAACCAGTTTCTGTGGTGAATCTTCTACAACCAAGCAGGTGATTTAAATTTTCTCTCAACAATTATAAACAAAAACACAAAATTTCATCTCTAATCAGTTTTTTCGAAACATTTTGTGATTTTTCCCGCTTTACAACAAAACCTTATTGCTATTATTTGTCCAGCTTTCGGATACAGCAGGTGCTCGTAGAAAATTTTGTCCATAAGCAGACGACTTCAGGGAAGAAAGGAAGTTAAGATTTCGATGTAATAAATGCTGTCAATTATAATTCGGCAGGTTCGCTAGAGTTAAAAACTTTAAACCTAAAATTTTGCAGACCCACCATGTATAACAGGTTGCTAAAAATAACTTCAATGAGTCTGCTCTAATAGTTTTTTCAATGCAGAGACTTCGTTGCGATCACTATGAAAAAGATTACTTTTTGCTTCAGAATTTTGATTTGCTATTTTTTGCTTAAGAAATTTGATTTTCTGTGTATTTTGAAATTAGTTTGTATTACCCAAGGTTAAGTTTTTTTTTTTTTTTTTTTTTAACTTTCTTGTTTACTTTTCAGCTCTGATGACACACACAGCCAAAGAAGCTTAGCGAACGTGCGAGAAAGGCAACGAACACAAAGTCTGAACCAGGCCTTTAGCGTGCTGCAAAAGGCTATCCCCACAATGCCATCGGACAAAATGAGTAAAATTCAAACGCTAAAACTCGCAATCACCTATATACGGTTCCTGAACTCCTGGCTAAATAATTTGGTGCTCAGCGGGGATGACATACTAACCAAAAATCAGATATCTGACTATTCATGCGGGTTTCAAGGAAGTAGCTATGAAACAAAACAAATGCTTGGCAGAGAATTCTCAATGTGGCGAATGGAAGGAGCGTGGTCGATGGAGCGACTGAAAGATATGGGCTTAGATTTCAGACAACCTAGGCAGGTAAAAAATTTTTATCTAAACGAATACTTTATAAATGACTTTTCCTTTTGACAATTATTTTTTTCACGTATAAATTAATTGTAAATGCTTCTTAGCCATTTTGGCTTACCAAAGTTTCAAGTGAAAAACTGTACTTTCTTAAAGCAGGGAGAAAGAGGAACCTATAACTGTTTTCTTTTCTAAATCATGGGAAATGAAAACCTATAGTTACATTATTAATATTTAATAGCAAATGATAACTCATAATAAAATAATGGATTATTAGTATTTATTAATTAAAATTGAAGGGCTTGCAGCAAGAAGAGCCCAGCTCCGCATTTTAAAATATTTCACGAACTTATATTCTAAACTTTTGTCCTCATTAAAAGTGCTAGTAAAAAGGATTTTTTACGGCTACTCCAATGGCTTTTTACTCCAATGTAAAGAAAAAAAAATTTCTTTTAAACAAAAAAGGCCAATGGACACCCAATCTACTAAAGTGGAGCTGGGACCTTCTTACTGCAAGCCCTTCAATTCTTTATCACTTGTTACTCTCAAAGTATACTGAAAAGTAAAAGAGACAGTTAGTTGTTCCTTTTTTGTTATATTGTTATACGGGTTCCTAATAGATTGAATGGACAAGTCCGATAAAAAGTTAATAAAATTTGTTCTTATAAGAAATATAACAAAACGCTGGCTTTTTCCTCAAAGATATTCGTACAATATCAGGCAGTAGTTATATTTTAAACTATTAAAACGTTAAAAAGAACGCAATCCACACCGCAGAGAAAGCTAATACTATCTCACCGCGAATTCGCTACAATCAACAACTACAACTCACTAAACAACGGAGCTGAGATGTTTGTCTTCGGTTTTATAATTTTTTTTAAATCAACCGCGCGAGATAGTTCTAGCAATCTCTGGAAAGCAAAAAAGAGTAGAATTACGGTTACAGCTAACATAGTAATCAATTACATTCATTCAAATTAAATATCAATTACAGAGGTAAACTTTTATTCAATGTTAAATGCACGTGCTCTTGTATTTTTACTTTTTCCGGCGTAGCTTTCTCTTCAAATTTGCCACGCGCTGCATTGCACAGGGAAATAAAACAATTTTAATTATGATTATATTAGAAATATCTAACTAAATGCAAAATTCGTAACAATATATATATTTTAAAAGTATATAAATAGTGTTTAAGTATTTTCTCCTTTTCTTTTATGATAAGCTTGAGTCTTAACTGCTGATTTTTAGATTTAAATGCAGATAAAAAGTTGCTAAAAATTTATTATTTCATATTTTCTTTAGATAATTGATCTTACGGAATTATATAATTGTTAGGGTCCTCTAAATAATCTTATATTTTTCCTTCACTAAAACAGAAATTTTGTATATTGGAGGCCATTGGAAGAATGCGTGGCTAGTTCTTCACCTAACTAGGCTTTGTTCTTGACTATTTTCATGCTTGCTGTTTGATTGAAATGGAAACTGGCAGGATGGGGGAAGATTATAGCAGCATGCAAATAATCTGTAGAGAACGTCTTTGTAGGTAATCGGGCTGAAGATGCTTCAGCAAACATAACAGCAGTACCATCGTAAAATACAAGTAACATAAATTCTGGTTATTAAAATATTGACCATTTTCTTACAATTGGCTGGGTGTTATCGAAAATGCTTGTCCTTAATTTGCGCTAGATATGTTAGATAATAGGCCATTCCAGATTGACAGGCAAGAAGATTTACTCGGTCCTTTTTTTAATATGACTTCTAGTTGACCTAGTTCTCTATTTTTTTGCATGTCTTCTTTATCCAGTTAATGTAAACTGTAATTCATCGCAAAATACGGCATTGCTTGAATCTTGATTTATTCCACAAAGAATTTTAGTGTCATTTAAGTTTAAGGAACTAGTATTAACAGAGAAATGCTTATTAGAAATGAAGGATTTATGAATTTCTCCTTTTCTGATGCAAGGTTCTTGTTTTTTGGTCGATTTAAGCTAAACTAAATCAGCGAGAAATCCTGTATTTGCAAGTGAAATCTGAAGCAGGATCAAGAATTTTTTTCTTCTCTCAATAAGCTCAGTTCTTTTATCTCATTCTTTCAGCTCATTTCTAAGAAAAAGAAAAAACGCTGATTTTACTTATTGCACAGTACTAAATTTAATGCCTTCTCGGAGATCGTTTCAACAGAAGTGACGAATTCAACAGGCATTCTTAAGTTGTGTAATGAACCGAATTAAAGTACTATGTAAGGAAAGATGTTCAGTTTAAAAATTCATGGCGAGGCAGTGATTCCAAAAAAATTATTTGTGGATAAATCGACTTGTTTTTGAAGTATCACGTTAAATTCTCAAGTCGCTTCCAATAGCACGCTGTTTCTCTTCAGTGTTTCTCTGACTAAGTAGGGTTAAATTATTCGACGGCTGGGCCTCCTTTTTTACCTGACATTATACTTTTGCTCCTTTTGTTTTCTTTCCAAAAAGAATGAAGCATTTTTAATGATTCTTATTTTCATTTTCCTGAGTGAACATCTGAGGGAACTAATAAATAATCCATCCGTTGTTAATAATTATAAACTAATAAAACTAATACTCATGTATTAAATTAATTATTATTAAGTCGTAAATCACATAAAGGAAAAGTTCCTCGTGTTTTGTTTTCATTAGACATGACATGTGAGGGGGTAACAATTGAAGAAAAACTAACAATACCTTTCAAACGTCGAGATTTTAAGTTTTGTGACATCAGTTTTCCAACCTCTCGGCTCATTTCCGATGTCAGAGGATGTCAAGGCCATTTTGACACTCCCCCCAAGTGTTCGACTGTATCTCTCTGGGAGACACTTGGTGACGTCAGGTTCGGTAGTCATCCGAGATAAACGTTCGCTCGTAGTTTGAGTAATAGCGTGGAACTTCCCATTTAAATGCCATTTATTTTTGTTGGTTATCTGACGCGGCATGAAGTGCCAAATGCAGTGATTATCGTTTGCGACATTGCAAACGTGTGAAAGATGAGTTAAATTCTCAGGAAGGCGGGACTGATGTTATGAGAAACTATTCGGTTTTTGTCACTGCAGCGAATGCATTTAAGTGGATAAAATTGAGGCCTCCCCGCTTTCTTTGATCAGAGCTGTTTAGTTATAACAGTGCAGGATATATATATTTTTTAAACAAAGTTCGCAGGTCTGCTAAACGATTTAATTACCAGCATTTATTAACGAGTCAACTTGCTTTCCCTAAATAATATTTCCTAAAATATTTCGTGCTTACGGAGAGGACTTTCTGTGCTCTTTCTGTTCATTTGCTTTGATCCAGCGAGCATCTGTTGCCACGAGTTCGAAAACTCGGTAAAAAACAGGAATGAAATTTTGCTTTAAAGCAAGAATTAATCATTTGTTATAGCCCATATTAATTTGGATTTGGCATTTTCCGTGGAATCACTTTTCAGATTGTTGCCTCCAATTATTATCGCCCTGTACTATATTAAATAATGAGGAATCTGCATAAATGCACGCATGTTTCTGGCATTGAGAGTTTTGATTTTGTTTAGCAATGAAGGTATGGCAGCTGGTATTTTACTTTAAAAATGTCAGGGTTTTCAAAATTTAAATTCTTTTATTTTTAAGGTGATTTATTTTTGTTTACAAATAAAGATGTGATTTTATTAATTGGCAAAGCGGAGTATTATTTTGAATAATTTAAATCCTACCCCTGTGAAATGATAAACTGTACTCTAAATTTTCCGAATCCAAGGTTTTTTTTTTTTTTTTTTTTTTTTTTTTTAAGTCCAGAGGGGCAATTTGCCCAGGAGGACTATTAATTTCTTTTTGGCATTTTGCATTGATTTACTACAAGCGTTGTTTCACTTTTCAAATTCTTGCCACCAAATATTATCGCTCTGCATTATATTTAAAGAAATTAAATCATGAAGAATCTGCATGAATATAATGCATGTTTCTCGCACTGTGGTAAAACAACGGTACCTAGAGGCATCCAATTTTGAATAACGTAATCCTGCACCAGAATACGGGCATCTGGAAGCCCAAATTTGGAATTTATTTTATTATCTATTTCATATTTTGTAACAATTTAATGAATTTTTGATAACCAAACTCTACGATTTAAAAGCGAGCAATGGCAACACTGTACGGGGGGGGAGCATAAAAAACGCCCCTTTGGGTGTAATATAAAAACTGAAATGTTTCAGTTTCGTTTAATTTTAATCCCCCCAACAGGTTTTGACTAGGGATGAAATTTGTGTTGCTTATGAACCTCAGGCGTCAACGATACGTGTTTTAGCAAGCAGCGAGCGTAGTTGGTAAAAAGGATTGTGCAGTTAGTAACAGCGATATTTAAAGACTTAGTTCCTTTGATTAAATTTTGATCCGATTGGATGACAGCCGCCAGAACTGCAGCATTAATTGAGATGACGAACTTTAGATTCATGTAATATAAACAATTAGTACGTTTTAGGACAGGGAAAGGGACGTAGCCAAAATAAATTGAGGAAAAAAAGGACTGTTTCTGAATTAAATTTAATAGATTTCTTTCATATTTTGTATCTTATATATCTCTCCTTCAAAGAGAAAAGGCTTTTTAGAAAGAAACATTAGAGCTTTTTCAAAACAAAAGTAACATAGTTTTCGGAAAAAAAATCGCATAGTTTTTATCTAAGTTTTGAATATAACATTTTTGACTAGTGAATGCAAATTTTAGAGTTCTGTTGAAATTTTGAGTCCAATTTTAAAAGTCCTCAAGTTTATTTTTCTCTAAAAATATTATAAAGATTGTCCTAAAATTTTCAAGAACTAATTGTAAAATTTCACAGTTGTATGAATATATGCTTGAACATTATTACTGTAATTTTTAGTCTTCCTCTTGAAAGGTCTTTCACAAAACTGTTGTATTTAATATAAAACCAAAATATGTCTTTGACATTCTCATGAAATTTTTATTAAACTGAATTATTTATTCATTATAAACAATCCACATTCTCTTACTGTGAAGCAATGTAAAATGTACTTTAGAAATTAATAAATATAGAAAAGTGGCAAAATACAACAACAACATAAACTTTGACAAAAAAGTGTGCACGTCCTCGCAAATGAATGAGCATAACTACTTGCTGATGGCTGTGGGAATGTTTAAATACAATAGCAAGCAAAACTCTCCATTCATTTATAAATATAAAAATCTTATATGTCTATTAATTATAATTTACTTTTCCATTTTGCCGGCGCAAGCGATAAACTCGCCAAAAATAGTACAACCGACACCAAACGAAATATCCTCGCTGGTAAACTTTTACGCCATTTTTTCAAAACAAGTCGCGGCCATTTCTTATCAGATTGATTGTTTCTTTCAATACTGATATAGAATTACATAGAATGTTTACCCAGATAATTCAGTTTTATACCCTAAGGCCATTCGGGGTAATTAAGTTAATTAGGATGCAATCACACCACTCACCTGAAGGCGAAAATATAGAAAAGGGTTAAATTCATCAATTCTAATAAGAATGCACTGGCAAAGTAGAGCACTGCGGTTTTGCATAATTTCGGAGTAAGCTATTCGTACGAATTAAAGTAATTCTTCCATTTAAACTTGTATTCCAAATTAAGATTTAACTTGAGATTAATGTAGATAATAACTGAGAGAATTAGATTTTTGTAGCGTAGCTTACGTGAGATGAGATCACTCGGGGTCACGTGATAAAGAACTGCGAATCAGGATGCTGTACCTTGAAAGCATAGTAAATTCTTAAATTAATGTCTTTTTACAAATTTATTGTTTTTTTTTTTTTTTTTTTTTTTTTTTTTTTTTTTTTTTTTTTTTTTTTTTTTTTTTTTTCCCCCTTCTTCTTCAAAATTTTAAGTGATATTAAAATGTTCATTACCTTCAAAATAAAAAATTTCTTAGAACTAACATTTGTTAACATTTTGTATGTGTATACTGTGTGTTGTCGCTAATTAAGTCTGCTTGGCGAGATTTGCGCTGGATTTATTTACTAAAGTGATATTGATTATATTATCTCCTAATATAAAGTTAGTAGAATGTATCAATTTTCATAGTAGAAGTTTGCATTTCTGTTTTTCATGATTTAAATTCAAGTTCCTCTAAAATATTATTTTTGAGATTAAATTTCGTACGTCTGGGTTGCTTCATTCAAATACATTCTACTAATTTTGTGTTAGGAGATAATAATATAATCAATATTACTTTCGTAAAGAAATTATTATTATCTTACTTTGCAGCTATTAGGAAATTTATTTCGATTTCAATGAATTTCAATTTATTAATTGTTATTCTTGTACATCTATTGCTTCTTATTCATCTGTTGATTATTATGTCTGTTACTTATACATCTATTACTTTTTACACAGCAAATTGCAAAATTTTATAATATAACTAATTTTCATTATTATAACTTCCATTATGAACTATATATACAGTAGATTGATTGATTGATTGAGATTGTAATAAGAATAAACTGATTTAATCGGATTGGCTGAGAGCTTACCGCATTGCACCAGGATTACACAAGCAAACATGAAACGGATGAAGTCCAGTAAAATTATTATAAACAGTTTCTACTTTTAGAACAGAAAGAAGGGTATAGCCAAATTAAAATGGGTATTGAAAAAAACTATTGTCAATATCCTTTAATAGTTTTATATTTTAATATTTTACACACATCTGTAATAAAACAAGACTTTGCAATGTTGATGGCGTAGAACGTAGATCCATAATAAAGAGCAAACGTAGCAGCTGAGGCAGATATGAAATACTGATCTTTATTTCAATTGACACAATTCAACTTGGCACGCGAACTGTGCCTGATTCAAAACAGTTACATTTTAGATATTATTGCGTTAGGAAGCAGCATCTTGAAGATAACAGGAGTAGAAGCAGAGATGCGCAGTTATCCAATATGAAAGCTTACCAGAAGAAAAATATAATTTCTCAAAATTCTGAGCTCGAGTTCCAGAGCTATGTCAAAGTTTTGGTTTAGATTCCGCATTAGTAACGTCACCAGCGTTATTAAGTCATTTGTATGGATTGATCTAGAAATGATTTTGATACATTGCAGATGCTAGGAGAAGAACATATAAAATCTAAAGAAGAAATTTAAAAAGTTATCGCTGATTAAGTGTAAATTTATTAGATATTTATATTCTACATATTCTTCCCAATTTATTAGATATTTATTTTCTAATTTTCCATATTCCACCCACCACTTGGTGAGAGGGAAACCTTTTCAGCAAAATAAACACAAACAAACATGAGCAGTAGCAAAGAAATCTTATACAATATGTACAGTTGATACGAAAAAACAAATGAAGGGTTTCAGGGATTTTAAACTTGAACCTTGATGTTTCATTGTGGCCCGTCATTTGGTTCTCAAACGTTCTCATACCTAGATATACAAAAACGTATATAAAATACAGTATCAACATCAGAATATATAAAAACATGAAAAAAAATGCAATTAAGAAATATGAAAACAAAATGATATGAATGTGAAATGTTCAACTTTTAATGTCTTCAAAGTTCCTGAAAATATAAAAAAGTTCTTGTATTCAAGATAACGTTCTTGAAAAGGTATCTTGATATCACCTCAAAAATTTTCACAGATTGTTATAAAAACTCGGTCTTTTGTAAAAACTCTAATGTTATTGTAAATATAAAACTCTTTCCAAAACATAGTAATGAAATTGCGTTAATTAAAATTTCTTAATTAAATTTCAAATTTATATTAGCTATTAATACGAATAGAGAATATCTGTTAAATGATTTATATATATGTGTGTGTGTATGTGTTTATTTTTGTTTAAGAAATAATATATACTTTTTAATATTGTGATATTTTTGTGGGCCTACCAGCGGCCGAGCGGTAAAGTCGCTGAACACTGGTAGTTCGGTCCGAGGCTCGAATCCCGCGAACGGGCTGGCTGCATGGGCGTTTTCGTGGTTTTCCTCATGTGTAACATGTATACGAGCCAGTTTCCCCTAGAAAGGCATCCCTCTCTTTAGGCAGATAGCCCTCGAGGTTTTGCCATAATCACACACACATTATGATATTTTTGTACCATTTTATGTTCAGAAAAGAAATGCAGTAACAAACATTGAGATTTTAAAAATGAAATTCTTTTTGAGTTCAATTTGAGTGTTATTCAAATGCATAGGTTTAGTTTTATAAGTTGATAGCAATAAATATAGACGAGATGATATTCAGCTAAAATTAGTAATCTAAATTTAGATATACAATATTTGGTATTGTGAATGTTGAGAAAAAAATATGTTCAGGATTTTGTTGTACAGTTAAGATTGATTTTGTTTGTTAAGAATGCACCCAACTGAAATTCTTGTTTTTCTGGCAAAGCTTAATCTCTTCAAACTTTACAAATTATTATTACATTATACACAAAAGTATAATGTAATAAATAATTACATTATGCAAAAAAGTATTACAATTTCACTAAAATTATTTACATATATGCAAAATTCGTAACAGTTTCTTAACGTCACACAATTATTGTTCTGGTTTTCAACCATTTGATATAACAGGACTGTTAGAAGAATTCACCATTGAAATACGATTTTTCAAATTTTTCCTGTTTAATTATTTGATTGATAGTGTGTGACTGAGATTAAAAAGATGAAAATTTAAAAATGTAGTTTTATAAAATTAACTTTTGTTTAAAACTCATAAAATCACCATTGAACTAAAAGAAGAAAAAATATGTTATCGTATAGTTTAATGGGAAGTAATTCTCTTCAAAAAATTCATCTACAGTTTTATATTAGGAATAATAAAAGCATTAATACCTAAAGAAATCGAATTGCATTGTCGGAAGCATAAGCCATTATTTTTATAAATTAATCAAGGATGCCCCGTGCTTTTTACTTTTCGTGATTTAAAAACTGCAGATGAATTTTATAAAGAGAATAATTTAATCTCTTGCTTCCATTAAACTATTTCATAAAATATGTTTTCTTTTTTTAGTTAATTAATGATTTTATGAGTTTTGTAAAGTCTTATTTTATGAAAACTAAATGAAAATATTTTTTAAAATTCTATAATGTGTAATAAATCCCTGATTTTGCAATTATTTTTTTATTACTTTTTAGTATCTAAAAAAGAAAGAATAATAATAAAGAAAAGTCTGAAAGATGTCAGATTTTATATTACACCCCAAAAGGGCGATTTTTTAACGTTTTGTGTGCTATCTTTATTTATTAAATATCACGTTTCTCGCACTTAAACCACATAAAATTCAATTCAACAGCAATATCACAAATTATTTAAAAACAACAAAACAGTATATCTTTAGAATTTCCGATACACAGACTCCAGCGCTGGAGATAAAAATGTATTTTTTTTTTTAATCCCCCGTACAGTGTTGCCACTACTCGCTGTGAAATAGATGGCTCTAGGTACCGTTGCTTTTTTCATAATGCGAGAAACATTTATGTAGATTCTTCATTATTCAGTTTCTTTAAATATAATGCATGGCGATAATATTTGGTGGCAACAGTTTGAAAAGTGAATCAACGCAGAAAGTGAAACGACGCAAAATGCCGTTTTCCCTTTGGGTCTAACGTCCCTTCTCCACAGTCGTAACTTAAACGAAAGCTACTCTACGAAACGTAAACCTTGATTAGAAATGACGCTCTTGCCTTCGCGTTGAGGTTAGTCTTGGTATTAAATCACTCGTCGGTTAATAGTGTTTACATGAATAAACGCAAATAAATTCGATTGGTCTATTTGTATTTCCTTTAGGTAAGCTAGTACTGAATTGCAACTGAAAAAACTTGATTTATACAAACTAATCAAAAGTTATCACTTCATTGACTATCGTTTCTGTAAGGTAGAAAAAAATATTTATTAATTTTTTCTCTTCTTTTTTCAGATGAATCCCTGCAAACAAGAGAGCGGCATTGTACCTTACGAATCTCATTCACGTACGGCGATGATGAGTATGTGAATAAAGCTTATATTTCATCAGATATTAGAGACTTAGTCGTATGAATTATTGCTAAAGTAGCCAAAAATTGTTGTCAACAAGATTTGGAATCGAATACTCACGTTAAAATGAACAATGAATATTTTCTACTTGTGTGCAAATGAAACGCACTACAACTAGGGCAGTAATTTTATCGCATAAGCAAATGTCCTTGAATTTTAGGAATTTTTTTAACGTTTACGGAATATTACATTTTCCCCCAAATTTCGAATAATTTCCTGATATTCTTTAGTTCCTATTATAATTATCAGATTCATTTTATATTTAAATTAATTTTATTCTAAATATGTTTTTATATTTTAATAATTTTAATGCTGCTTTCCACTAGAGTTTCGCCAAAATGCACTGTTAAAGACATGCTGCTTCAAAATCCACAGTGTTTTCACAATGCGAGAAACATGCATATATTCATGCAAATTCTTCGTTATTTAATTTCTTTAAATATATAGGGCGATAATATATTTGGTGGCAACAATTTGAAAAGTGATACGCTGTTTATAGTGATTCAACACAAAATGCCTAGCATTATTTTTTCGTCTTTAGTATTCAGCCGAGCTGAAATGTTGATATAAATTCTCGATCCTGAAATAGATTCTAATTCGAAGTCTAAATTCGAAGTCACGATAGTTTCGCAAATTTTCATTACTTGTTTCCCACAAAGACAATTCTCTGATTTCCTTTTTCTTGCTGCGATAAAATTACTGCTCTTATGATAGGCTTTTGTTAATATTACAATTTCAGATTAGATGCGTTGATTTTGCTAAGTTTACTTGTTACTTTTTGTTCATATAGGTAGAAGTAGAATGCTCACTTTTTAAACCACTGGTGGGCTAATGATAAATTTAATTTATCAATAAATGGCAATGTTAATTGCAGTCCCAGAATGGTAAAATTGAAATATGCTTCTGGTCATTCTTTTCTGCTTTTAAATTTAGTGACTGAAATTAAAGAATGAAGTTAAATTGAATAAACAAAGTTCTAAAATCATTTTGTGAACTGTATAAATGTCAGAAATTAATGTTTCCCGATTGAAAAATATTACTTTTCTTTTCAAAGAAGATTTATAAATATGTTAAATGAAAATAACTATCATTACTTCAATCATAACTATGTTTAAAGTTTTGAACGCAACTGTATGATTGAAATACGTGTGGCTAAATAATGTAGATTATTAACAGAATTATTTTTACTATGAAAGAACAGCACTATTATAAAAATACTTTTGTATAAAACTAAAACTTCTAGAAGAGTAAATTAATTCGAAAAGGATAATTTTTAGTGTAATTATTTTGTAACTTATTAATTTTACATAACAGTTTTAACGGTCTAATAAAGCTCTACTAGTTTCGAAATTTTTTCCTGGATATTACTAAATACAGTGAAATTTCCCTCTGACGAGAACCCATGATTCCAGAAAATTTTAAGTTTTTTTTTCGAAAGTAGTTGCTGTTATACTACTTAGGGGACTTGGTACCTCAAAATCGATTAAATTCTCGATTTTTCGATTTTTGCCAAAAAATACCGTAATACTATACTGAAGAGAAATTTTGAAATGATCTGACGATAATAAATTGTATAAAAAGGTTTTTAAAAATTTTGACATCCCTTTAAATGCCACACCTCCTCAGTGTTTATTTTTTTACTTCTTAATTGTTCCAGTAACTTAACATTTCTTAACTTACCAGTTCATTAACTTAACGTCTTCGAAGACGAATGTAATTAAATGTGACTACGCTTATTATCAAACTGTGTTTATACTGATTTATTTAAATACTAAGTGAAGTTGGAAAAAATTCTTATATATATATATAATTCAGCTCTCCGAATATTTCTATGTATGCTATCGGTCAATTTTGCTATGCTTCGTCAAAATCTGAAATTATTTGTGATAAGACACGAACAAAAAAAGAGGAGGCGTAATGAAATTGATCAAGTTCTTGATTGTAGCATTATTGAAAATCTAGCTATCAATAAACTGTTGAATTAATTAAAATGCACCTAAGTTAATTTAAAATGCAGTTCATATACAAGACCTATTGTCTAAAAGAAGGGAAGAAATCACATAGGCTGCTGAGCTGTTTTAAATAAAATGCTTTTTGTCTATTCAGATTTCAAATTTTGCTTTTTGAAAAAATGAATGAAATACAAATTAATGTTATTAATATTAATTATAAATTTGAAATAATTTAACGACCATTTAGACAGATTACATTCTTTAAACTGCGTTTTCTCAGTTTGCATTTTTTCGATAAATCCTTTTACCTAAAGTCCAAAAACTTACGTAGATATGGATTAAATTATTTAATATTGTTACTGCTTGTTTAAAATTATATACTTAACAGAAACAAGGATGGTTTTTTTTTCCAAAATACTGAAAAGAAAAAAATTTGGAAGTGAAAATGTAACTGAAATCAAATTTTTTTCGAAGTTTTTACACAAGAATGTTCTTTTATTTTTTCCTCAGAAACTAATTCATTAATTCCAAAATATATCCTTAAAGTTATTAAGAACACTGTAATAAATACAATAAAAAAATTTGGAGAAAACTTTGAAAATTGTAGGAGAAGGAAGGCATTTTAATTGTTATATTTTTTCTTCAAAAAATTTAAATTAAAAAAACATTACTGCCAAAACTTTTTGTCACAAAATTATTTTGTCCGACAAAACCATTTAATAATATTAAAAAACTAGAATAAAGTTCTTATAAAATAATTCATTCAAAAGGTACCGAGTCCCTTTAAACCGACCGAATGTGGCGTTAAATTATCGTACAGAATGCTCTTCACATGATTTTTCAGTGATGTTCAATGCCGGTGTTTAAGCTCTTAGAAATAGTGATTATTTTCATTAGTGGAAATCACTAACTACTGGAGAAGGTCGCCCTAAGAAGTTTTACCTGGGGATAAATAGTCAATATTTACAAATGATTTAAGAATTTCTTATTAGATATGCATTTATATAGGTAATTATTCAGAAACTTTTATTTAATGTACCAGTTTTTTAAAATCATGTGAAGAATGCACTACAACACCGTAAGTATCATTTAGGTTGAAGTAAGATGTAATTTCTTTTCATTAAATGCTCAGAATGCCTTTAATTTGATCCACTTGGAATTAAATATGTTAATGCCGTAAATACCGGAGAAACTCTTTTAACCGGCAGCGACAGAACTTCATCGATTCCGGATACGATACAGATTTTTAAAACAGCGCCCGCAGAAAATTAAATTCGTCTGGAACGCTAAGTGATAGTTTAGTGAGGATACTCTGTACCGGAATCTGAAATATTATTTAAACAATTAAAAACGAAATTTTTTTTTTTTTTTTTTTTTTTTTTTTTTTGGGAATCAGTGAGAAACGAAATGAAATGCTTAATAACAGGGAACAATGTGCAGTTTTATTGAACACTCTGATATAATAGAAGCAGTAATATGATTTCCCCCCCCCCCAAAAAAAAGGAAAATCATACTAATTATTTTTATGATATAATAAATTCGTTAAACATATCTTTGGAACAATACACACTTCTCCTTAATTTACACTCCTTTGTTATAATATACAAAGCTTATTTTTTCTACAATGCCTGTTCAGTTAATTCATATGTTAATAGAAATAATATTTAGTAAGAATTTCATTGATTTTAGTATGTGAATCAAATTTGTCAGTTAAGATTTTGTTTCCATTTCATGTATTTTCATAATGCTTTAGTCATTGTACAAGTGCCAAAGAGAAATTTCATATTATTAAATTTATGGATAATTTCATTCTAGTGCAATATGTTTGTTTCTATGGATATATCTTATATAAGTGATAATAAAACGAGCTTCTTTTCCATGTTTTCGTTTTGTCTTTTAAAGCGTATTTTCAACATTGAAATTCCTTGAGAATTTAAAACCCATAATTGTTTATTACAGATCCATTCGTGACTAAACAAAAATGCTTATCACATTTCACTAGAATCGCTATATAATGGTAATCATCTTAAAAGCGGCTAGAAGCAACTGTTTGTATGAATTTTAATTTGATAATTGTATATTTACTAAATTAGGATACATTTTAGTAAATCCATAATCGCCGATATATCAAGAACAATCTATTACCACCTTTGATGATGATATTTGTTTTATTGATTTTGTCAGTCGCATTCAAAATGGCATCAAATATTTTGTTATTTTTTGTATTGTCTCTGTCTAAATATCAATCAGTTAAGTATGAAGACAAGTGATGACGAGCAGTATCAATCACGTTAATGACAGCAAAATGGAGCGCTTATTCAAATCTGAGAATCATCTTATGCACATTCATTATGTGTGTGTGTATACTATAGTCGGGAACAAAGCTGAAATAATAAAAAAAAAAATCTGATGTGAACACACCACATGACTTCCTTGTACTGCCTATTAAATTATACACCTTTTTTGCTGCACATTATTTAAACTTATTTCCTCATATTATTAAAATTTTTTTTATCTTCTCTCAACGAAAGTTGAAAATGATATCGAAAATCTTGAAATTAAATATGCATTCAATTTTTCTCGAACGCTGTTCAAATCTTTTATAATCTTTTCATAATGAGTATAACATAAGTATAGGAATCGGGAGACCGTGTTAAGTTTTTTTTTAATCATTTATTTGACTTTGGCAAAACATGATACTTTCGCCATTTGAAACTCTTCTGTAATTGGAAGTCTGTACGACAAAGGTTGCGAAAATGAGACCGGGTTGAGGGAGTGTATATATACAATACGTTTGGTATTGCTTATTGCAATAAAAAAAAAAGTTTTGAGTTATGCGAAATACATGCGTACGTACGTACAGACGTTACGAAAAAAAAAATCCCTTTTGAAACCATTTTACAATCCGATCTGGAAAAGAAAAGTTCTTTGTTCTTTGTACGTAACAAGAAATAAAAATCCCATCTTTATAGAAGATTCTGGAATATCTTCTAGGGTTGTCGATCGCTCGGAAGAAGAGACATGGCCAATATTTTAGGTATATTATCGGCGGGAATCGGATGAGAAAGAATTTTGCATTGGAAACTCGATTATTCGTTATTCTAATTAACTGTTGGTTTTTGCGATTTGTCAGCCACTGAGAAAGCGCCTGATAAGGATAGTTAAGCCATTAATGAATAAAATTAAGTGAAAAAAGAAATCTTGATTTAAAATAGGTTATATTTTGTAGTAAAATTTTGATTCCCTTGTCATTGTATTTAGAATAAAGGTTAAATATTGTTTTAAAAAATACAGTCCTAATCCGGTACTGTCAAAAAAAAAAAAAAAAAAAAAAAAAACGGAGAGCAGAAAACTTCCGTTTAAAAATTGCTGCACATATCGCAATCCGATAAATTCTCTGGATATCAAGTTTTGTAATAATTAATTGCGGGACAGTTTGAAATTTCATATACAGCTGCACTCCATTATGACTAAAGTCCGAAGATGAAATAATCAAAAATATATTACTTCGGCTTTGGCCAGCTAGTATTAGGATCGGCTAAGTATAAGTTAGAATATCCATATCCCCAACTTTGCTTTTAATGCTCTTCCGCGAAACTGACGTTCTTGCCGGATGAAAGTTTTTTTTTTTTTTTTTTTTTTTTTTTTTGTATTCTTGTTTGCAAAAAAATTAAATAAATAAACCAATAAATTTGAATTAAATATGTTACGAACATTTTCACAACATGTAAAAATTACGCGAACAGCATTCAGAAACAACTCATACACTCGGGTATTAAATGAACAGTGCACAAACTGGCCCATGAACTACACTATGATATATAACATGTACTAGTATTAAATAACAATTGAAAGACGGTGAGTACTTATAATAAATTTGTGTGATTTTGAAATAACAGTGTACAGGTAGGCTTGAAAATAGTATTCTTCCAAGATGCGTCCTCAATAAATCTTATGCTTGTCGTTGCGCCCTCCTGTTTGAACAAACTTGATTTTTCATCCGTCTTGCCCATAATTTTGCTTATCATTACTGATTGCCACAATATTCATTGAGCATCTTATTCTAACGAAGTTTTCCTCTGCTGCAAGGCACCGGCCAGTGATATACTAATTGCCTTACACCTAGCTTTCTACGAATGTGGGAATGTTACAAATGATCTATGCATTCAGAGTGTTAAATCACTCGTATAGGCACAATATGCGCAACTCTTTTATTATGGCTGTGATTTTGTCCCTAAAGAATTACGTCTTTAAATTAGGGATAGAGTAAGAAATTTTCCACGTGGTTAAATCTGGTTAAAACTTTTTTTGTGAAGTCACCCACCTGCTTTCTTTCATCCACCTGCTGCTTTTGTGAAGTCACACATTCGGAAGGGACTGTCTACGTCATCATGCAATTGTTTTTATGACGTAATCCTGGATTTTAGCATGCGATCCCATGCAGTCTTCGAGAATATTCTAGCATAGCAACTGCCACTAGAGGGCACCAGTCTGCATCCTGTGATTGTTTGTCTTTGATGATGAGTAAGGCCAAGTATACACAAAGTCTGTATGAACTTTCGGTCCTCAGTTTTCTATGGGCTTCTCAAAATTTGCCGCTAGATGGTGCACATGAGCAACCATAAATTTTGACCTTAATATAGCACCTAGTGTCGTCTGTAATTTGTGGAAGCAGTTTTTCAGTATATTGCATCCATATCGAGAAGACCAAGATCCACAAACTGTGAATGAGGATGGTTATTTAGCACTTTCAGCACGACTACACAGGACTGCTACAGCTTCACAGCTCTAACATGAGGTATTGAAACGCGAGTTTCACGGTCTGCAGTAGCCCAAAGGCTTCCTGAGGTACAGCTATATGCCAGAAGACCTACTGTTTGGGTCCCGCTTACTGCAGCACACAAGAGAGCGCGTTTAGCACTCTTCCGTGCTGCAGTAAGCTTGGACCAACATGCTGCGCATTGGACTAGATTACAGTGAAGCATTCTGCTTTTTGAAAATGATCCGAGATTTAGCCTGGTCACTGATTCTCGACGTACCTATGTTTGGAGAGAGATTGGAACGCGATATCATCCCTCCCTCATCAAGGAAAATGGTCATTACAATGATGGAGGTGTAATGATTTGTGCATGCATTATGTTGGACGCCGCACACCCCTGCATATGTTTTAGAAGGACTCCCTGACTGTCATGAAGTACAGAGGGGAGAACTTATAATCTCATGTTCAAATTTTCAGAGGCTCAAATGGTCTTGGTTTCCTATTAATAGACCACAGTTGTCATCTACATAGGTCTAGCTTGTCGATGATTACCTGGAATATGAGGATATTCGCCGCATGGATTGATCAAGCGAGATTTCCTAACCCTAATCCTATAGAGTATGTCCAGGACGCTCTTGGGAGGGCAATTTCATATCTTTGCCCCCATCCAAGAACTATCATGTTGTAGGGTTTATATTTAT